CACAGTAGACCCTGATATGGTAACATTTCGCTATGATTAAGTTTCTTATTGTGCTTTTAGTCGACTATATTGGTTTGATTATTTGCTTATTTAATGTATAATATCAGTCAAAATAATACAAATGATCATTTAAAGAACAAAGCATACATTAGATGCTTTGTAAATACAAAAATATTTCCTACTTTAAAAGGTTTGTTAGGGCTTTCTGTATGTTTTATTTTGAAATGTTGATATATTTTATGAATTCATTGTTCAGTGGTCATTTATGCACCAGACACAGTGACAGTGACACTGGTCTAAAACCGCCCACGGCGGTTTTAGACGGGGGCCAACAGGGTACCAAGAAGTTATACTAAATAAATGCCTAATACTCAGTGGTGGATTTTTTTAACCTTCACAATTTTGCTTTTACAATGAATTAAAAATTATAGTGCTGCACTTTTAGCTGCTGTATGGAGATAGGATCACAAGGATCCAGACTGAATCTCTGGAGACGCAAGTGGGTCTTTGGCTGACTTATATCAAATGATGAAATATTGCTCTGTTTTTTTTTTTTGTTTCATTCTTTTTCAAGTGTTGCCATGGAAAAACACTGACTATCCTGGCCCCTGTGGTAAATCTGGTCTAGAACCAGCCTCCAAACCTAACTGCTTATTTATATAAATATTTTGGTAATACTCTGTAAAATATCAGAATGTTCACATAAATTTTATACTTTTAGTTGTTTGAGGACACATTTTGAATATTAAATCAGGTGTTATGATCAGTTACTCAGTGGTTTACCAAATACTTTTTACACTTGCTTAATTAAACATATTTAAAGTATACTACTCTGATTGGAGTATAGTTTTGGGGTACTCTAAATCTAACCAACCTCTATGCATGAACAGTTGCTCTATGGATCACTTTTTAAAGACAAAAAACACCGTCATAAAATATTGTCAAGCACTGCAGCGGACTGACCCGTGACAGTAGGACGACGCACCGTGGTGGGCGTCCCTTATTTTGATTTCTGAAAGGTGGCAACCCTACTCCCAGGTACCTGTAATGCGAGTTGCTCAACACTTCTAGCCGAGTGTGTTTTAGGCTCAGATCTTGTAATGCAACCGCACTTTCTGAACTTTTTTTAAGCGTCACTACCCACAGGAAGTGTCACTAAACAATGAGGTTGGTGTCATCATATTTAATAAAACTTAAATCACATATCTGATGGTATTGCTTGTAGTGTTTATGTGTACAAATAGAGAGGAATATAAAGTAATGTTGATAAGATGTACTAGAATAAAATTTCTAAATGATATAAAGTTAACAGCCAATTTTATAGTTGGTGGTGATATCCAAATGGACAAGCCAAAATTGTAATAATAAACATTCCTACATTACTGTCAGAAACCACCAACAGACTATGAGCCATATCTACAGTATTTGTCCGTGTGTTCTCTACTGGGAAACAGTTTGTAGGCAGTTGATGAGGGGAAATAAACTAAAAAAAAAAAAAAAAAAAAATAAAAAAAACCCGAGCCCCATTAAGACCCAGATTAACTAGTGACAGCCAAATGGGGTCCTCAACACAGATGTTTGTAAAACAAGATTAGGTGGCCATGTCATTTCCTGATCAAAATACAACAAACATAAATAAATGGATTTGAAAATGTCTCTACTTTCTCTAAGATCTCTTCAAAACGTAGCAATTACTTGTATGTGAAGGAATATTCAAGAATATACTTTTTATGTTTAACTTGAAAAGTGAACTTTCGCTAATTTCTTAGGCAAGGGGCCTAAGAAACTTGACTAAAAGGAAAAGTTTCTTTTTAGTTTGTAAAGTGAAAAATGTAAATATAATATTCTTACAGGAAAGTCATTCAAAACATGAAGATAGCATCTTTTGATCTAAACCAGGGGTGTCCAAAGTCAGTCCTGGAGGGCCAGCATCCTGAATGTTTTAGTTCTCTCCCTGGTTTAATACACCTGGTATTGATGGCTCGTTAGAAGGCCTAAGAGGAACACTGACAAGCTGAAAAGGTTGTTACCACCACCAGGTAGTACTGTAATGGATGTAATGGATGAAATTTTTCATCCATCAAGTAAAATGGATGACACATTTCACTGGTTATTCCTCACTGTCTGTTTGGATAACTTAATGCTTAATTTGTTAAATATATATGGTTATAATAATCTAAACCAGAACAAATTATTGCTAGAAGAAATATCCCTAAACTTGGATCACCTAAAATCATCTTACTCTATAAACAATGTTATAATTGGTGGGGATCTTAACCTCGTTCAAGATTAATTTTATGAGAGATGGCCTTCTAAACAAAACATGTTTTTACCCACACAAAATATTTAACAATTTTTGCAATGAACAAAATCTAGTTGTCGTGTGGCATCATCTTAATCCCAATTGTACAAAATTCTCATGGTTTGGCTCAAATAGCAAATCAAGACTTGATCACTAGGGTATAAAAATATAAAGGACTTTGAAGATTTAAATAGTCTTATTCGAAAATGGGAATTCATAAAGTATAAGATCAGACAATTTTCTATCTCATTCAGTAAACAACTAAAAAAAGAACTCCAAAAAAAGAACTAGATATTGTACAACTAAATATATATTACAATAAACCCAACCCCTCAACTGAAGACAAGCTAAAAATACAAATCCTCCAACCTAAACTAGATTAAATGTATACTCAAAGGGCCAAAGGGGCATTTATTAGATCAAGAGCAAGATGGATTGAGAAAGGAGAAAAAAACACTGCCTACTTTTTTGTAATCTGGAAAAAAGAAGACAACAAAATTCTATCAAATCATTAATAATAAATAATGTAGAAACCAACAATGAAAAATTAATATCAACAGAGATTTTTAAATTCTATAGCAACTTGTATACCTCCAAATTCTCAGAACAAAAATCTCGCACCTTTTTTAAACAAATTGAATCTTTTATCCCTAAAATAGAAGATAATTACAAACAAACTTGTGACAACAATATTACAGTTGAGGAACTTGATAAGGCTGTCAATCACTTCTCATTAAACAAAGCACCTGGTCCGGATGGACTTAAAGGAAACTTTTATAAACACTTTTGGGAAGACATAAAAATATTACTACATCAAGTTTTTACAGAAATTTTTAAAAATCACACTATACCTACTGCAATGAGACAAGGAACTGAATTATATGTATCCCTGAACCAGACAAGGACCCAAGATTTATTGAGAATAGAAAAACTATTACACTCGGAAATTCAGATTATAAATTACTAACGTACATATTTACCATACGTCTCCAATCAGGAATCTCAAACATTATTGCAGAATCACAATCTGGCTTCTTAAAAGGAAGATCAATCCACAACAACATTAGACTGGTAAAGGACCTGATTGAATATAGAGACATGATTAAAGATGATGGCTTTATTCTTTTCCTTGACTTTTATAAAGCCTTTGACTCGGTGGAACGCCAATTCTTATTCTCAGTTCTTGAACATCTAGGCTTTGGAGCAAACTTTATTAACTTAATTAAAGACCTATATCAAAACATAAATAGTTGTGTAATACTGCATAAGGGCACCACAGCTAGATTTAACATTAATGTTGTAATTCCTCAAGGGTGTCCCATTTCCCCATATCTCTTTAATTTAGTTGCAGAGATGTTAGCAATATATCTTAAAAACTGTGAAGACATTGAGAAATTAGATGTTTTTGGTACAGAATTAATCATTAGCCAGTTAGCAGATGACATCACTGTTTTCTGAAAATATCACAAGCAGGTTCCAATTGTAATTGATAAAATGAAACTTTTTTTCAGAGGCTTCAGGACTAATGCTTAATTTAAAAAAATGATCTTATAGCCATTCATGACACTTCCCTAAAAGAAATATCTAGCATTCCAATTAAATCTGAAATTAAATACTTGGGATCTGTTAGAACCAAAAACCAAGAATCAACCTTAACTACTGAAAACAAGATTAAAGAATGTAAATCCAAACTTAACTCATGGCTCCAACGAGACCTTTCTATTTTAGGATGAATTTACTTTTCAAAAATGTAAAGTTTGTCGAGATTAATTTATTCAACCTGCAGCACTGCTGTCCCAAATAGCTTAACTAAAACTATTAACCAAATGAACATGAACTTTATTTGGAGAAACAGGCCACACTACTTACGTAAAGGTCATATGATCAAAGAAATCAAAGATGGCGGTCTGAAAGTAATTGACTTTGAATGTCTTAACGGTACTCTTAAGATTAATTGGTTAAAATCCTGGATTAAAAATTAATCCAGGTGGTCTAAAACTTGTTCTTCTAGCTGATTTCAAAATACATAAGTTGCCCATCAAGCTATCAGAGTTCCATAAACAATTGTTACTATACTGGAAGATGCTCTACGTACATAGCTACTCACCACACTGCTCTATCATATGGAATAACAGATTCATACTACATCGCAATAATTCTTTATTTTACAAAGATTGGATGGAGAAGAATATCTGGTTTATTATACACTTAATGGATGCTAATGGTTGCATGGTAAACTAGGAACAATTCTGTGCAAAGTATCAATTCTTTCCCCCTAAAGCTGAATTTACCAGATTATATAATGCCTTACCAAAAATTATTTATTAATCAGATTAAAAATATAATAACATATCATCCGATGACCCCACAACTACCCAATTTGTCTATTAATGGAATATCAATCACTGACCAAAAATTTAATAACTACACAATTAGAAGCTGTCTAAACAAAACTTTATTCCCTGGGAAAATAAATAAAAATAACATTCTTTGCAAATTAAAAAAAAAATCAATTGAAAGATTAAGAACACTTTATTTAAAACTCCCCATACAGCCAAAAGGTAAAGAAACGCACTCAAAAGTTTTAAATGCAATTTACCCCTCCAAAGAACTACTAAGAAATTGCTTTAATAATGATGACAATAAATGCTCAGTCTGTGGAAGCAATGTAGAAATAACTGACCATGTCTTCTATGAATGCAATCAAACCAAAACTATTTTGGAATTCCTTAGAAAGGTGGATCAAATCAAAAATTGCACTTCCTGAATCTATTTCTAGAGATATGGTAACTTTTGGAGTGTTACTGAAAAACAAAACAATAGAACTGTTGTAACCTAATTTTTTGTTTGCCAAAATTCTTTATTCATAAACAGAGTACTGAGATCATCCCCAGTTTTTATTTTAAATCTGAATTCCAGTTATATTTGAAATCTCTGAAATGTACTGAATCATACGAAGACCTGACTGAAATATTAATGGAATTGCCCTCCAATGTATGTTAACCTAACATATGAGTCCCCTTGTTGCTGCTTTAGTTATTTTATTTTTTTTTCTATCAATATTACTTTATATTTCCATTTCGAAATCTGCCTCTACTATGCCCTCTACTACGGAGCCCCTAAGGGGACATGGAGAAAAAAAAAAAGGAAAGAAATCCCGACTTATTATCGCGAGATCCCGAGAAACTAAGTCGGGATCTCGAGATAATAAGTCGGGATCTCGCGATAATAAGTCGGGATCTCGCGATAATAAGTCGGGATCTCGAGATCTCGACTTAGTTTCTCGGGATCTCGCGATAATAAGTCGGGATTTCTTTCCTTTTTTTTTTTTCTCCATGTCCCCTTAGGGGCTCCGTACTCTACAGAGTTATATTGTTGTAATCGCCTTACTTGTTTGTGTTTACTTTGTTTAAATAAAGTTTTTTGGGGAAAAAAAGTTGCCCCGTATGCGTGCAAGCAGTTAAGAGGCTAAAAGAGATAGAGGAAGACAGAATCTAAAACAGCCTGTAAATGTTCCAGTCTTTAATATTAAAGACGTGGTGGATTTTATGTCCAATTATTCTCCGAGTTTTCCATGTTATTTTTTGCGCTCTTCACATCCATTCAGCCAACGTTGAAACCGTAAGCTAACCTCCCAGCTAACCTCCCAGCATAAACACAGACACAAATCTGACCTGTAATCTTTTCAGCTGCACACAGCAACCTGCTCCGTGTTTTATCTCGGTCCCGTTTCGGAATACTGAAGCCTTACTGCCTGATATCCTCAGTAAATGGGACAGTCTGGAGTATGTGAACAGAATCATGTTTAGTTCCGAGAGCTTTCTGCGCATCAGGTTTGCGCATAGTTCCATGTTCAGCATTTCTTTTTTCTTTTTTTAAAATCTTTATTCAGTAATCGTCAAAACATTGACAATGTATAAAGACAGAAAAAAAAGAAAGAAATGTGCCAGGGAAGGGAAGAGGGGGGTTATAACCAACAAAAAAATTACAAGAGATTAAATTTGTGTAATAAACTTACAGTTTTCATGGCTTTTGGATTATTAGATGAGATGATGGTACCATTGAAACTAGGGTTGCCACCTTCAAGAAATTAAAATAAGGGACACTCCCCACAGCACGTCGCTCTACTCTCATGGGGGTGATAGACACTGCAGTGATAGACACTATTTATGGGAGTGTCTTGTTTTTAAAATGTGATCCATAGAGCAATTGTTTAGACATAGAGTACTGGTACTCCACAATTGTACTCCAATAAGAGTAGCATACCTTAAACATGTTTAATTAAGCAAGTATAAAATGTATTTGGTAATCTGCTCAAGTACTGAGTAACTGATCATAACACTTGATTTAATAATCAAAATGTGTCCTCAGGCAGGGCTCCAAAAGTATAAAATTTATGTGAAAATTCTGGTATTGTAAAGAGTATTACTAAAATATTTATAGAAATAAGCAATTAGGTTTGGAGGATGGTTCTAGACCAAATTTACCACGGGGGCCAGTGTTGTCAGTGTTTTTTCATGGGGACACTTTAAAATGAATTAAACAAAAAAGCAGAGCAATATTTCATAAGCTTCAAATGAGCCAAAGAGCAACTTGTGTCTCCAGAGATTCAGGTTGCAGATCCCTGGCAGATGGAAAGTGTGATCCTATTTCGATACAGCAACTAAAAG